AAATGAAAGAGAGAATGAGAGGTGTGAAGAGTAGAGGTTTTCCGACAAGTCTTATATAGGGGAAAAAATTGTGAAAACCGCACCTCTAGGGTGCGGTTTTAGTCTGCCATGCAGCCCTACGTCCATAATTCTCTGCATGGCTGTGTCGGGTGTCGGAAAATTATTGACACGTAAACCGCACTTGGGGGGTGCGGTCTACATGGCCAAACCGCACCTTAGAGATGCGGTTTGTTCTTGGAGGAATAAACCGCATCACTAAGGTGCGGTTTATGTAGGTCAGGCCTAAACCGCACCTCGGCCATGCGTTTCATGTAGGCCAGACATGAAAACGCATGGCCAAGGTGCGGTTTAGGCCCACCAAAATAGAACGCACCCTCCAGGTGCGGTTTACATATAAAACGCACCTGGGGGATGCGGTTTATATGTAAAACGCATCACGAGGGTGCGGTCAATAAAAAAGGGTGCTAGTTTTGTAAATATTTTTGGGAGGGTGCTAGTTTTGTAATTTTTTTTTTAAGGGTGCTATTTCTGGAAAAATCTCTCCTTTTGGCTACTTAACCCCTTTGCTGCAAATTGCATAAAACAACACCCATACCAACCTTTGCCTTTAGCTCCTAGTCCGATCCCCTCTGTGATTCAAGGTAGTCGTACAACCAGCAAATTGAACATTCACAAATTTCATATTCCTGTAATTTCATATTATTTTGGGAATGATTGTTTTTCTTTTGTCGTGTTGCCCGTAATTTTGCTTTTAGGTAATTGTTGAAAACAGAATCCAACCATTCCCATCACCTTATTCCTTGACCAGGATACTAAGATTTATTTATGAAAGTACTTACCATACAAAAAGTTGAGAGGTTGGTTGTGTATGGTGAACTAGGGGTGGGCAACGGGAAACGAGTATTTGGGTATACCTGTCCCGTTTTTTGAGGGTTACGAGTACCAAAATACCCGTAAATTTTTTTACAGGATGGGACTTGGGATCAAGAATCACTACTTCGGGTACCCGCGGGTTACCCGTTAATACCCGTTTGGGTATTATGGGTACCCGTTATACCCATTAATCCATGCCAATCTACTAAACAAGGATGAAGTGTTGAGGTTGTGGGGCATTGCTAAAGCCAAGTTCACCAAACGGCATAATAGGGACTAATAATGGGCTCTTTGGTGAAACTGGGGGAGATTGAAGAAGCTGAGAATTTGCTGGAGGAATAATGGGGAGTGCAAAATCAAATAATCTAACCAGAATATATATATGGGCATGTTTGGGTTGGGGTTTGCATTACATGGTGACAAAGGTACACAACAGGGAGAAATTTTGCAAGGCCAGCAGAGCAACAGTAGGCCACCTCAATTTCATTTCCCTCTTCTCCAAAGTTCACTTGAACGTATGTTGTTAGGTCTAGTGGACGGGTATTTATGGGTACCCGTTTTCCGTCCCGTGCGGGTAATGGGTATCAAAAGAACATATACATGGAGCTATGCCGACTTATGTATGTCTTGTTGACACCAAACGATTAGGTATACCATGCCACGTCCCTTCTTTTCATAGAGGAGAGAGAAAAAAGCGTACCCGCTTACCCGTAAAGATTTGGGACATAGGATGGAGATTGCTCTCCAAATAGGATCGGGTACCCGTTTCAAACGAGACGGGTATCCCGTCCCGTCCCGTTGCCCACCCCTATGGTGAACTTCACCAACTAAATTTGTGATTGTACATATCACAAATTTATGTTATTATGGTGTAAGCACATTTTCAATGAAGATTGTGGTGGCTAGATGAGAGGGTACGACAAATGATGCTAGAATTCTTAGTGAAACAGTTTCAAATCCATATAATAACAAGTTCTCGATGCTATCATGAGGTACTTATGATTTTTTGTACATAAATAAATCCATAACACATTTACGGTTCCAAATAAATAGTTTCATATCGAGATATACTAATTGTTTTGCTATATATAATGCATGTAAGTATTATTTTCTTGACATAGGATTTGCGAACATGCCTGGGTTCCTAGCACCATACCGAACACAGGAGTCTGCTCATTTTCAAGAAATTAATCAAGACGGTGGAACCAAAACTCGAAATCAACTATTCAACTATTATCATTCATCCCTACGCAATGTCATTGAACGTTGCTTCGGAATTCGGAGTTTTGAAGGTCAGGTTCCCAATTCTGAAACATATGCCTTCTTTTTCACTAAAGAAACAAACATGAATTGTTATTGTTGCATGTGTTCTACATAACTTCATTAGGATTCACTCTGGTGAAGATGTCCTATTTGAAGACTATCAGAATTATTATGTGGAGGAGGACGTTAATGGAGTGCAATGAGGACTAGAAAGAGAAGAGTACAATATGAGTTCAAGTCGAACACGACAAATGGATATTCGACGAGAGGGAATAGCAGACAAGTTGTGGGATGACTTTCAAGCTGGACTCCTTTGACATTTGTGATTGTACTTCTACTTATATGATATTGAAGACTTACACCTCTCGCCTTTGGGCGAGGCTCGAAGACTCACGCCTCCTACCTCCGGGGGAGAATTCAGTGAGACACAAGAGTGTCTTGAGTTAAAACTCTCAAATCGTGGATTCACCCTCTCTAGCACATAGCTAACACCTAATAGTCTACAAACAACTTATGCTTACACATGCACACAAGCTCACGCCCATCTCACGGTCCAACAACTTAATGCATAAAGCTCATAGTTACAACCTATTAGCGCTAGCAACAATGGAAAAGCGAAGAAAACTTAACGACTTGAGCTCTTTAACTCAAAACATCAAAAGCTAAGCAAAGTGCAAAGACACATCGTCCAGCCTCACGATTAAGGCAAATTAATACACATTAATTCATTATGTCACTCCTTCCATTCTTACAGAATACAAGAAGTAAAGGGGCAACTCTTGGGGTATGGATTAATGTGTCTTATACGAAAAACTACCACGTCATCAATGAGCGAAAGCCAACTTACGAAGGCCCCTATATAAGGAGGCTCAAGCCCTCCAAGCAAGAAACTTCTCTCTCCTCTCCACATTCATCACACAAGGTCTTTCTCTACCTTTATCTCTCTACATTTCATATAGACTATTCATATACCGTACTAACTTGGGCGTCAGAGCGTAGATCACGGAGGCGCCCCTCCGCACCACATATCCTTCCACTCTAGAGGAGATCAGATGAGGGAGTCCAGATCGGAGTACCAAATATTATTGTATTGGCCTAGGGTACATTCTAGGTTCAAACAGTTACTAAATTATAACAATAAATAAATTTGGGCACCAAAATATAATTTTAAAAAATTGTTGTATGTAACTAGAAAATTCAAAATTAAAATAAAAGCCATAAAATCTGAAATACCAACAAATTACAAATGAGCATCCAAACAATGAATTCAAATATATGAATTTCAAATATAGCCATCCAAGCGCAGCCTAATAGATTTTTCTATTGCCCCTAAAAAATAGGGAAGATAGTTGTAACATCCTAAACTTTTTTTCAAGATATTGTCTGCTTTGGATCTAGACCGTCACAAATATTTTCTTGAGGTACATATCAAGGTGACTTCCCATAAGGCCACTCATCCTTGCAGTGCTCCACAGTGAGCACGTTTGATTTCATAGTTCTAATAGGAACTCTTCCATTTCACCCCAAATCAGGGTTATCCAATAGATCGTGGAGGTCTTGTTCCAAAATTGAGATATGATACAAATTGACTTTTAAGTGTAAATAAATTTAAATAATTATATCATCATTATTTGAAATCTAATATCTTTCTAACATTGTTTAAAATAAAATTATTTATTATCTCTAATTTTTCATATACTCCATAAGATCATTTTCAACTGTTATCTTAGCTATATCATTAAGATTTTTGAAACACTAACAATATTTTAACAATCAATATACATGTTTAGTGTATACATATACATGAGAATATTGAGCAATGACTAGCATTAATATTAACTAATAATTAAACTCCTCATCGTTCTCCTATTCTATTAATCATAAGCTACAAATACAACATACGATCAGATTAACTTACAAATCTAAATCGAGCCCCCTAATATTCGGAGGCCATGTGTTAGAGGGCCTTTTGGCACACCCTCTGGGGCGCCCCTGCCCAAAACATGTCTTGTAAGTTAAAGTTGGTTTCTTATTTATGAATCATGAATCTCTCTCATGCTTTGTCGATGTGAGATTTGATTAATGTGTTACATACACCTCCCCCCTCAGGGACTCAATGTCCTCGTTGAGGTTTTCCCCACCATCGTTCAAGAGAGATGCGAAAAAGCTCTGATACCACTTTTAATATCCCAAACCTTTTCTCATCAAGATATTGTCCGCTTTGAGTCTATAGCCTCACAGATTTTGCCTTAGAGTACATATCATGGTGACCCATAAGGTCACACATCCTTGCAGTGTTCCACAATTAGCACGTTTAAATTCAAAGTTCTTAAAGAAAACTTCCATTTCACCCCAAAATGCGTCTCTTCCATCCTTTGTCAATGTCAGATTTGCCTAAAGTAAGAAACCGACCATAACTGACAAGACACAGTTTGAGGGCTGAATAGAAGAGTTATTATAAGAACTCCAAAGTTAAATGTGCTCACTGTGTAACACTGCAAGGATGAGCGAACTTTGTGGGAAGTCACCTTGATATGCACCGCAAGGCAACATCCGTGCATATATAAGCCCAAAATGGATATTACAAGTGATATTAGAGCCTCTCAGCTTTCATCTTGAACGACGGTGGGGCACATCACATCTGAACAAGAATATACTACAATAATGAATGATCATTTTGAATTAAGAAAATAATGGATGATTTTATTGAAGGTCACCTTGATATTTACAGTAAAAGTCACAATATGTTGTCGTTACAAATGGCGTAAAAAAAGGGGGTGAAAATTATTAAATAATGGTAGCGGAGGATATGCCATGCCATATAATAATAGCGAAACCGCGAAGTGGCGGTGACTCCCTTGGAACCAAAGCAAAACCCTAAAGCCCCCAACAAGCGAACACACTCCCGCAAACCCTCTGCTTCACTGTCTGCCTCTTGTCTTGCTTTCTGCGCATACGAACTTGCCCGCCTCCACGGCACCAAAAAGCAGAAGCCTGTAGCAGCGGGCAGGCATGGCGCAGTCACTTGAATTGCTGTTAATTCAGTTCTTGATGCCGGACAACGACGCCCGTCGGCAGGCGGAGGAGCAGATAAAGCGCTTGGCCAAGGATCCTCAGGTTGTCCCCGCCCTTGTCCAGCACCTTCGCACCGCAAAGACCCCCAATGTTCGCCAGCTCGCTGCCGTGCTCCTCCGTAAGAAGATCACCGGCCATTGGGCCAAGCTTTCCCCTCAGCTTAAGCAGCTCGTCAAGCAGTCCCTCATTGAGAGCATAACTATGGAGCACAGGTTCCCCTGCCTCCTGCTTCTTCTTTCCTTTTTTTTCAATACCCTGTTGATTGGTGATTTGAAATTGCAACTCAATTTCATGCCGATTTGCTGCTGTGCCTGTTGGAGCAATAGAGAAAGACGCCATGGCAATTTTGTCCTCTCGTTTTGCCATTTAGCGTTTGACTGAACAATAAAGCCAAATTTCTGTAGGATTTCATGCTCTCGAAGCATTCCCATGATCCCATCTATATACTACTTTAACCAAGTTATGGTTTTAGTTCAATTGTTGATCCTGTTTCATGTTTCTACAGCCCGCCAGTGAGGCGTGCTAGTGCCAATGTAGTAAGCATCATTGCAAAGTACGCCGTGACAGCTGGGGAGTGGCCAGACCTACTGCCATTTTTGTTCCAATGTAGTCAAAGTGCCCAGGAAGATCTTAGAGAAGTGAGTTTCCCTGCTGTTATCGCATGGTTGCTTCTAGTGTAATGTGTAGCCATGTTTTGAATACTGATGGTATCGATTCTTTGCAAACTGATGGTATTAATTCTTTGCTTTTGTGGTGCATAAGGTGGCTTTGATCCTTTTCAGTTCCTTGACCGAAACCATTGGCAACGCATTCCAACCTTATTTCGTTGATCTCCAAGCACTTCTATTGAAATGTCTACAGGATGAGGCTAGTAACCGTGTCAGAGTTGCTGCTCTGAAGTAATAATTTTCTTTCTAAAAGTTTGTCTTTACCAGATTTGTATGGCAAGCCTGTATAGCTGCTTATCCTCCATTTTTGCTGTTATCAGGGCAGTCGGATCATTTCTTGAATTTACTAGTGATGGAGATGATTTGGTAAGTTGAGCTCTTCTTTCATGACCCTAAGCCAAAAGTTCAACAAATGATGTTCACATTTTCAACGAGGGGATTCGTGCTTCTTCATAATATGCTCTTTTTGGGCCTGTGAAGTATTTTTACTTATACAGTTTTATAAATTGGTTATTGGTTTCATATTGTATGGCCTACCTGTTCTACCTTTGTCTTGTTGCCTGCTGATCCACTCGTGGTTTCGCCTGGATCCCATGTTTGTTGGTTGTTGTGGTCGACAGCAGGTGATAGGTTGACATACATGAAATGGGAGGTTCTGTATATTGACACGAGGCTGGGGAGTTTTCTTGGAAGTGTGTTAAAATCAATGGGAAATGGGAAATACGATAGTGATTCTGAAGTTCCCTTTTCGATTGGGAAGTACAACTTGACGTAAATGTTAAGTATTGCATGAGCTCTCTCATAAGTGAATATATTTTCTTGTCAGTTTCGGTATTTAAGGCAAGTCCGCTACGATTAGGAAGAGCCCATGTGAAATATGGGTATTATCTTTATGAAAATTGGTTTCTGTAGCACATTTGGCTGACCTCTTTGCACCTTATTCTAACCAAGTCGTGCTGTTCTCTGATCATAGATTGTTCATCCTAGCAGAAAACACCTATTTTCATTTTCTAAACCTTTGTTTATTATATCAATGTGCAGGTTAAGTTCCGACAATTTATTCCCAGCATTTTGAATGTAGCAAGACAATGTCTTGCTTCAGGGGAGGAGGATGTTGCTGTGATTGCTTTTGAAATTTTCGACGAGTTGATTGAATCTCCAGCACCCCTTCTTGGAGACTCTGTTAAATCAATTGTGCAGTTCGCGCTTGAAGTTTCCTCTAGTCAAAATTTGGAGTCCAACACTCGTCATCAGGTTAGAAATGAGTGTGATGTATGCTGCATTGTACATACATATAAGTAGATATCCTTTCGTAGTAGCTTACCTTATTTGTTACAATTGCTGACAGGCTATTCAAATAGTTTCTTGGCTAGCAAAGTACAAATCCAACTCCTTGAAAAAGTATAAGTTGGTAATCCCAATTCTGCAAGTGATGTGTCCCTTGCTGGCAGAGTCTAACAACTCTAATGAGGATGATGATCTTGCCCCAGATAGAGCTGCTGCAGAAGTTATTGACACAATCGCAGTGAACCTTCCAAAGCATGTGTTGCCTGCTATTTTAGAGTTTTCCTCATTAAGCAGTCAAGACACCAATCCAAAATTCCGCGAAGCTTCTGTAACAGCTTTGGGAATTGTGTCAGAGGGTTGTGTGGATTTGATGAGAGATAAGTTAGAACCTGTTCTTCATATTGTGTTGGGTGCTTTGAGGGATCCAGAGCAAATGGTTAGAGGGGCAGCATCATTTGCATTGGGTCAATTTGCTGAGTATTTGCAACCAGAAATAGTTTCTCACTACGAAAGTGTTCTTCCCTGTATTTTGAATGCTCTAGAGGATGCATCTGATGAAGTAAAGGTAAACACGATAGTATGGTCGGCTGTCTTAAGTTCTCACATATTTTTCCCCATGAACAAAACTTTCAGTAATTTGTATTTTGTTTTCACTTAATCTTCGTGCAGGAAAAGTCATATTATGCTCTAGCAGCTTTTTGTGAGAACATGGGTGAAGAAATTCTTCCTTTTCTTGATCCTTTGATGGGGAAGCTACTTGCAGCCCTGCAAAGTAGTCCCCGTAACCTTCAGGAGACATGCATGGTATGGACGTGCAATTTTCCGTACAACATAGTTTCCGTAGATTATTGGGACTGTCAACTGATGTTTCTGGAAATTATTTATTGAATTTTGATTCAGTCTGCAATTGGTTCTGTCGCATCTGCTGCGGAGCAAGCTTTCATTCCTTATGCTGAAAGGGTCCTGGAGTTGATGAAATTGTTTATGGTACTTACTAATGACGAGGATCTGCAATCCCGAGCAAGGGCTACTGAACTTGTTGGAATAGTTGCAATGTGTGTTGGAAGAGGAAGGATGGAGCCAATTATACACCCATTCATGGAAGCTGCAGTATTGGTAATAAGAGTAGTAATTGTCTCTCATAACTATTCTGTTTCATGTTAGGCGGTGGCTTACTTCTCATTTTGACAGGGATTTGGGCTTGAATTCAGTGAGCTTCGTGAGTACACACATGGATTCTTTAGCAATGTTGCTGAAATCATGGACGATGGTTTTGCACAGGTTTTAGTTTCTTTATCGACCTACATATTCTACTTTTTGTTCCTCTCATTTCCAGTGTTCAAGAAGACGCTAGGCGCTATCTAGGCGAGGAGGCACCGCCCAGCGCCCAGGCCGATTAGTCGTTGCCTAGGCGAGATTAAACGTTGAAAAAAATATATGATAAATAAGCCATATTACACAAAAACTCAAGTCGCCATATCATTATTCATGCATTCATATACACATACAACCCTTTTCCATTATCCCAAACATCCCAAGTCGCCAACCATGAGGAGGGATCTCACTGCCGGTCGATAAGGGGAGCGGCTGGTCAAATGGAAATGGGTAATAGAATAGGGATTGAGATTTTCACAAAAAAGCTACACTTTCCCCCTTTATTAGTTGTTCTGGGCGTCGCCCACCAGAGTGAAAACTCGCCTCCAAATGCCTAGGTGCCTAGATCAATCGCCCAGGGCTAGACGGGGCGATTTCCTCCTGCCTAGCTATTAATCGCGCCTAGGCGAGAGATTAATCGCGTCTTCTTGAACACTGCTCGTTTCTCAATATTTATTCACCTGGTTGTCCTTTCTTTGCATAGTACCTTCCCCACGTCGTTCCTTTGGCATTCTCGTCATGTAATCTAGATGACGGCTCTGCAGTGGATATTGATGAATCTGATGATGAAAATATCAATGGATTTGGTGGGGTTTCATCTGATGATGAAGCACATGATGAACCCAGGGTTCGAAATATTAGTATAAGAACCGGAGTGCTGGATGAAAAGGCAGCTGCAACTCAAGCACTTGGCTTGTTTGCTCTTCATACAAAGAATTCATTTGCACCGTATCCTTATAGAGTTATTATTATCTGGTTACAATAATTTTATTTATTTATCATGAGTCACAATGTTCTTTATGAATTATGTACTCTTTAAATCTTTCTCAAGATACTTAGAGGAGTCGGTAAAGATTTTAGTGAAACATTCAGAGTACTTTCATGAGGATGTGCGGCTTCAGGCAGTGATATCCTTAAAACGTGAGTACAATTCATCCATCTTTGGCATAATTTTAGGCTTGACTCACCACTCAATAGTTTTTGTCTCCTGTCTCACTACGTACTACAATGTGACATTCATGTTCATTCGTTTCTCTAAGTTTGTAATCAACAGATATTTTACCTATTTGGTCGGCAAAACATATACTAATTGTTCCATTATAGTGTTGACTCATTATTTCGGTTCTTTGGGAATGCAGACATCTTGACAGCAGCACATGCAATCTTCTGTAATAGTAATGTGAGTGTGCATTTGAAAAAGAATTCTTCCTCAACATCTCTATTAGCATTTTATCGTATCGGTTTGCATGATGCTGCCTGTTCAATACCAGTTCTAGTTTAACTATTATATCTTCAAGCATTCATTTTTATGATCGTAAAATGGAAGTGATAAGAGTCGGTCACGAGGCGTTTGCCATCTGTGTTGGTGAAGAATGTTTAACTGTTGTACCGTTGATGTGATGGACAATCCTCTTTGATACAGGATGGACAAGCAAAGGCATTAGAGATACTGGGTAAGAGCACCTTTTTTTGTGTCATAATCCTCTGCCCCTGTGTTTCAGGAGCTTTTTCATGGTATTTTATCCAAAAACTTCAATGTGACTATCTAATTTGTAATCTTTCAGATAGAGTAATGAATATTTATATCAAGACTATGACTGAAGATGATGATAAAGAAGTTGTGGCACAAGCTTGCATGAGTGTAGCGGACATCATTAAAGACTATGGCTACATGGCTGTTGAACCTTGTAAGTAAAAGTAGAGTATGCATTACCCAATCACAGATGTAGTCTTTTACTTGGGAGGAGGCTGAACAAGTTTGTTGCTATTTGATGTGATGCAAATTCAGACATGCAGCGGCTTGTTGATGGAACTCTGACGTTACTTAGAGAGGAGGCTGCTTGTCAGCAACCAGAAAATGATAGTGACATTGATGATGATGGTGACACTGCACATGATGAAGTCCTTATGGATGCTGTTTCAGATCTTCTTCCAGCATTTGCAAAGGCCATGGGTCCTCATTTTGCTCCTATTTTTGCAAAGCTCTTTGAACCTTTAATGAAATTTGCGGTGGGTAGCATCTGATAGTTGCTGTGATGTGGTAATTCTTCCTTGCTATCGACTCTAATATCATTATTGTTACTAAAACTGTAGAAAAGCTCACGTCCTCCACAAGACCGTACTATGGTGGTTGCATCCCTTGCTGAAGTTGCACAAAACATGGGTGCACCTATAGGAGGCTATGTCGATGTAAGTTAGCAGTAAATAATTACTTCTTTGAACCAAGGGATAACCTCCCCCTACCCAAAACTAAAGTTGCAGTTTGCATATTTTCTGTTACCTTTTGCTCCAATTTGTTTAAAGGGTGATTCTTTTCTTCAGAGGTTGATGCATTTAGTGCTAAAAGAATTAGCTTCATCAGATGCAACAAACAGGAGGAATGCTGCATTTTGTGTTGGCGAGTTATGCAAAAATGGAGGAGAATTATCTGTCAAGTATCCTTATGCATTCCTGGACATTTTATTCACCTTCAACTTCCTTGCAACTTATACTGAATACAGGCCTGATGGTTTTGGGTGGCTCTGCGGAGGCAGATTACATGAGATATTATTTAGCATTTCGTTCTTTTAGTAACAATCTTCTACAAGACAGTTGCCGGATGCAAGGATAACAATAGGAGATAACTTTACCCCGTGGCTGGGTTTATCATTTTCATTTGTTCCCTTACATCAGCGCCAGGTACTACGGTGATGTATTGCGTGGACTGTATCCATTATTTGGGGATTCAGAACCTGATAATGCAGTCAGGGATAATGCAGCTGGTGCAGTAGCAAGAATGATAATGACCTATCCCCAGTCTATCCCGTTGAATCAGGTTGTTACCCCTTTTCTTCTTGTCCCTCATGCTTCTTTTCCAGCTAATTGTTTCACAGGGTTCTCATGTTTGTTGTTTTCTCGACTTCCTCAGGTTCTTCCTGTTTTACTGAAAGCTCTTCCATTAAAAGAAGACCACGAAGAATCCATGGCTGTCTACAGTTGTATATCAACTCTTCTTTTTTCATCCAATCCACAGGTACTTTAGACTAGCGAATTGGTATCTGTTGGAACTAGTGACTTAATTAAAAACACTCACAATAATATTCATAACTTATGAATTAAAATGCTGGTTTGTCTGCCTGCACTATAGCAATCGAGTTGATTCAGAGTGTTCCTTAGGTTCTCTTGTCTGACACCCCTGCAACTCTGTTTCCCCTTCTCTGTTGATGCACGAAACAGATCCTTGCAGTGGTGCCGGACTTGGTTAATGTTTTCGCACAAGTTGTGGTGTCCCCAGTGGAAAGTCCTGAAGTTAAAGCTGAAATCGGCAGAGCGTTCTCACACCTAGTTTCTCAATACGGCCAGCAAATGCAGCCGCTATTGAGCAACCTATCACCTGCACATGCTAATGCTTTAGCTGCATTTGCCCCTAGAAGCTGATCCGTTAAAGGTGGGCCAGATTGGCGTAAATTCTTTCTTCTTTGCTGCACCTCCAGTTAATGCAGTTTGCACATGGCACTTGGCTTGCTGCATCCATGGCAGTGGGAAACCTGCTTTTTTACAAGGCCTAGTATCTGCTAGTTCTTCAGTTTTCATATTTGTTCATCAACTTTGCTCTTCATGGCATTCAATTTATCACATCTTTGTGATTCGCCGATTTTTGTTTCGTGGTGTTGCTTTCCCGTGCAATTCTCTTATGGGTCAGTTTATAGCGTCATCCATACAGCTGGTGTTCAATGGATTTGGTATTTCGGTTGAGGGGTTTCTGAGATGTTGAGCGTTGGGCAGGGATGATTGATGAAATGGGAGAAAAGGCGTTGAGCCTCTGTACACACAAATACACACTCTGCTCTATTGTTTTCATATAGTTGGAATATGCATAATTCTTTTTTGAGATTGATTCCGTTGAAGAAGTTGAAGTTCATATAATCCTTTTCTATGTTTACTACACAGTAACCCCTTTGAAGAACGACTTGATGTAATCTTCTGGACCTTTAGAATTCAATCAGGCTACTCTGACTGTAAGGACTGTTTAGCGGAATTGCCTAGAATTTTTTAATTTTGCACGTTGCCATTATTTGAGACGGCGTTTCCCAAATTTTACTTAAAGCACCCCAACTTAATACATAAGATTATCTCTCTCTTCTTGGGGTCGTTTGGATGGGTCAATTGTCAATGTGGTATTTGTAGAGTAAAAAAACTCATTTATTGTCATGTGATATTTCAGTGTTATTTTAGTGGTAATAGAAATAAAGTATCTCGTTTGGTTGAACCATGCAAATGTGGCATTTGACATGTAGTATTTGGTAAAAGCAGAGTGATAAAACGAGTTATTTCGAAATAACACATGAGTATAAGTTATTTCAAATAACTCATTTTGAGTTATTTGTAAATAACTCACTGTCCAAATAATTTATTTAAGTAAAACGCTGTCAAACGAGTTATTTGCGTTCAAATAACTCATTGTGAGTTATTTGAACCCAAATAACTCATACAAATACTCCATCCAAACGACCCCAAGTATGTACTTTTTTCTTCTAAAATGCAAAAAAAAAAAAAAAAAAACACAAAAAAGAGCACACTTTCTGTTTGCTGCCATCAGTCATCATCGGTCACTGAAGGAAGAGAACATCGGGGTTGAAGGAGGGACGTTTGTTAGGGTGTATTTATGTGTTTGTCGAAGAACAATTAAGCTACTTGAACTTTTTAGTCGGGTGATTATAGTAAAACTAGGCAGCGTATAGCCGTACATAGTGAGAACCCCCATCTTAACAGCTTATTCACCGTTATGAGCTAATAGTTTTGAGCAAAGCAATGACAAATTACGCAATTCTAGTGTTGAAAGCCTATATCCCTATTAAATGGACATTTATTGATCCAATGGAGCAAGAAAGAAACCACGAATTCTGCGTGACAGGTCAGAACACTGCAGGTGCAAATTGCAGCTCTCAAGGAAGAGCATCCGATAGACTTAAATCGAGTGAATAGTCTTGATGCGGACCTTACTAAGAATTGTGCCGAGGAGGAGTTGTTTTGATGAAGAAATCTAGGGTGCGGTGGCTTCGAGAAGGTGATTGGAACACGTCTTACTTCCATAGGTGACTAGGACTCTTCCTAAGCTTAACTTTGTGTAGAAATTGAAAATAGAGGATGAGGTTTAGGTCACGGAGGAGGAGGAGAAACGAGAGTTGGTAAACTGACGCAGGGATGCCCCAAACTTAGATTGGAGGCAAGCGATGTCTGTGGATGGTTGTGGTGTTTCGCAACAGGGAGAGAAGATGACAAAAAGGCGCAACAATAGACTGTAGGGTGGTTGTGGTCGGATCTGCCGCCATCGCTGGTAATCTCGCTCTCTGATTCTTGATTTCCTCAGATGAGTCTCCATCTCTACATCATCAAGCGCCTGTACTCCACCTCCCTCACCCTCAACTCCAAGCGCGAGTTCCAGATCTTCGACAATCTGGTGTGGAAAGCAAAGGGGACATCGAACTCAGTCTTTGATTTGGATCTGTAGAATCTTTGGTAAGGTTAGATGGGAGGAATGTTGTAAATGGAGTAGACGAATTGAGAGCTTTCCTGGCGGCATCGACTGGAGAATGGGAGTGGGAGCAACAAATGGATCTGACTGGGGTTGCAGTTCAACTAACAATCAACCGGACGAAAAATTGATTGTTTGACTATTAAATTATTTTCGAAAAGGTTTAGCTATTATTTTTTTTAATGAAAAATTTGGCTATTATATTGATTTACCATAATAAAAATAATCAAAAGGTTATTTATTGCGAAGGGAAGGGCTATAGTGTTAACATTTTGTTAGCATGATATTAACAATAGTTTCAGCCAATAGAAACTGATATACCAAACGTAAAAAGATTTTTTACTGCACCAGCCCACCATATGCTCAAACAATGCACTATTGCACCTGGGCCAACGATCGCACCCGGCCCATGACTCTCTCTAGTGAAATATTGGGTCAGACCCGTCCGTCTCTTGTCGGGAAACAATTGTGTCATATGACCCGACAACACTAAATCATATAGTGGCTCGTGATTGCCTCTAGTAGTGGGTTCCTCCCTCCTCTCGGAGCCCGGATCCCCCGTGTATCATTGCATCCAAAACCGCCGCCTGGACGCGCCATTGCCCCCGGCTAGCTGAGCCGGGGCTTCGCCTCTCCCTCGGGGTTCACCTCTCCCTCGAGCCCGTTATCGCTACAGCTGAGCCCACTATTGCCTCCGGCTCCCGGTGCCGGGTCTTCGCCTCTCGTCCGGTTCTCGGTGCTCGGACTCGCTATCGCTCCTAGCTCGCGGCAACCCGACTTCGCTTTCCTCTCGGCGCTCGGGCCTGCTATTGCCTCTGCGCTGGGGCTTCTCCTCTCGTTTGGTTCCCGATGCTCGGACCCGCTATTTCTGTCGACTCCCGGCACCCGGGCCTGCTATTGCCTCGACTTGGACCTGAAACAGCTCTCCAAGATCCACTACTAGCCTGGGCTCCCGGATGACCTCCGAGTGATACTCATGCCACCGCAACCTCTAGAACCCGTGGTGAACCGAGAAGGACTTGATGAGTTAGCAATGATCCTCCTCTTGTTGACCCCTCGACCTTGATAGTTATCAAGCCCTTCAGAATCCTGAAATAGGAGCTCGCGAATCTCCACTCCTTGTTATTGAGATGCATGTTGACCTATCCCTGGAGATACATTACTGTGAACGGATTCCATGCCGCGAAGCAACCACTCAACATCTATAGCACCTGAATAGAAAATGGCTTAGTCAGCAAGGCGAGCAAGAATTCTAGAATGACAAAACCTATTATACGAAGAATCCTATAACCCTCCTACCTTCTGAGTAAGCTTGGATTATCAGCAACCTAATATGTTCTTTGGTATGAAGTTAGGCCGGGGGCCCACTTAAAAACTGACCGAAATCCAAGGGAACGCAGGGTGCCTTAAGAAGTTTTCTTGGATTCTCAAGCCCACTTTCATTCGAAGTGGATCGCCACCTACCGTGAGTACCCTGGCAGAGAGAAAAAAAACTTATCATATCAGCCCTTATGTTTTGTCTTCATCACGGACCCGAAAGGGGAACACCGGTCAAATTTGGGCTCGTAGACCACAATTAAATTTAAATGATTTGACCACAATTAAGGAAGAAGAAGTGAAGGAGGGACATAGCTGGTATTATGAAAATTTGGGAGAAGAGGTTCCACGTGTTTCTTGTGCGATTAAATGGAGAAGGAGTGTAGAACCACAAAATCCACCTCACAAGCACAAGAAAACCCACAAAAATCTAGACCACAAACTCACCACACTACAAGTTTATTAAAGTGCTCCACAAATTTCTTGAGGCAGACGACAAGTGACACAAAGCAAGCTATAAGTCTCATAAACCATACCACAAATTTATTAAAGCAAACCATAAATCATAAAAAACAAGCCACAAACATTATCAATTAAACCACAAGTACTTTGAAACACACCCGAAAATTTAATAAAGCAAACCACCACTTTAATAATATATTCAAAAACATAAGAGCGTTTTTATACAATGAGTAAATAAATAACCAGGACTAGAGGATGAAGATCCATGAAAAATAGTGGACTCCAATCCTCTCCCCCGCCGCGGCTTTCTCAATTGCCCACCTCTCTCCCGATTATTTTGTCTAGGCGACACTCTCTCGGGCGAGCAATGGATAGCGTTGCCGGCTGAGGCTTGACTTTCTCTTTCTTTTAATATAGAATTCCGCCTTTGCTCAGTCCACCGACACCGACCACCTTTGATGCGATATCGACTAACGCGATATTCAATTCTCGTGGTCCCAAAATGAAGATTCGAATTCAACGATTTAAGGATCAATTGGGAGCATTCTTGATGGATAAAATGGAGAATGCATTAAGGATTGGGCCTACAACATTTCTTGGAGCCCAAAACGTCCATCCTTGCTGCCCAAGTCATCCAAATGTGAAAAGGACAAGGAAAGAGATTGCTTAACCACTAAGGAGCTTCCTTAAGCATTAAAAACTTGTTTGGAGATTACTTAGCTGCTAAGGAGCTTCCTTTGGTCATAAAAACGAGTTATAGTCCTTATTTAAGTAGTATTATGTTTCCTAGTTAGTTTGGGATTTGTTTTCCTATTCCTTTTAGGTTAGTTTTATGTTTTTGTGACCTCATATAAATAGAGGATGTAAGAGCTACGAATTTTGTACCCAATATTCAAGTTTCAGCAATAAAAAATACAAGTGTTTACAAGTTCAAGTGAACGTTTTGCTTATTCGCTCCTTTGAGGATTCGGGAGGTTTGAGTGGTCTCTTATCAACTAGAGAACGCGTCAAGTTGTGGCGAGCATCGACAATATCGGTTGGCCTCTTCCACGGGTTCGAGATTGTTTGGAAGGTTTCATATACCTTCTGGCCCTTCTCACGAGTTCGGATTTGTTTGATCGATTCCGCAAGTATCTTTATTTCGTGCTATTCAAAGAAAGGAGAAAACCCAAAAAAAAAAGAGTTCGACGTTGTGCAATTCTGATTTTTGGTCCAAGTTTGGGTGGATTCTCGAATTATCAGAGCCTGGTTCGAGAATCCACCCAAACTTGGACCAAAAATCAGAATTGCACAACGTCGAACTCTTTTTTTTTGGGTTTTCTCCTTTCTTTGAATAGCACGAAATAAAGATACTTGCGGAATCGATCAAACAAATCCGAACTCGTGAGAAGGGCCAGAAGGTATATGAAACCTTCCAAACAATCTCGAACCCGTGGAAGAGGCCAACCGATATTGTCGATGCTCGCCACAACTAGACGCGTTCTCTAGTTGATAAGAGACCACTCAAACCTCCCGAATCCTCAAAGGAGCGAATAAGCAAAATGTTCACTTGAACTTGTAAACACTTGTATTTTTTATTGCTGAAACTTGAATATTGGGTACAAAATTCGTAGCTCTTACATCCTCTATTTATAGAGGTCACAAAAACATAAAACTAACCTAAAAGGAATAGGAAAACAAATCCCAAACTAACTAGGAAACATAATACTACTTAAATAAGGACTATAACTCGTTTTTATGACCAAAGGAAGCTCC